GGGGGAAGGGGGTGAGCCCGGCGCCGGGAGCCGCTCTCCGCCTTCTCACTGCCGGAGCGGAGCGGGGCGGGCGGTGGAGCCGGGGTCCGTGTGGGACGCGGTGAGGCGGAGCGCTTCTCCCCGGCGGCGGGGAGCTTGTTCCCTCAGGAGAAAGGTGCTCCTCGGGGTGTCCCGGAGAGGGAAGGGAGGAGCACCCCGCTGCCTGGGGAAGGGGGTTTTGTTCCCAGCTCTGTCTTCCAGTTGTTGGATGGGACCGGGAAACAGTTGAGGTGGTCGTTCCTCGGGGCAGGGCCTTGTCCGGACCGAGTTTGGGTGGGCGATGCCCACTGGCATGGGTAATGCTTTCTGTATGTTACGTGTTCCTGGAGTACTGCGTCCAGCTCTGGAGTCCTCAGCACAAGAAGGACATGGAGCTGATGGAGCGAGGCCAGAGGAGGCCCCGGAGATGCTGGGAGGGCTGGAGCCCCTCTGCTGGGAGGACAGGCTGGGAGAGTTGGGGGGGTCAGCCTGGAGAAGAGAAGGCGAAAAAGGGGAGACCTCAGAGCCCCTTCCAGTGCCTAAAGGGGCTCCAGGAGAGCTGGGGAGGGACTCTGGATCAGGGAGGGGAGCCACAGGATGAGGAGGAATGGTTTTAAACTGAAAGAGGGGAGATTTAGATGAGATATTAGGAAGAAATTGTTGCCTGTGCGGGTTGCGAGCCCCTGGGGCAGGTTGCCCCGAGAAGCTGTGGCTGCCCCATCCCTGGAGGTGTTCAAGGCCAGGTTGGACGGGGCTTGGAGCAACCTGGGCTGGTGGGAGGTGTTCCTGCCCAGGGCAGGGTGGGTGGAACTGGATGATCTTCATATTGTCTCCAATGGGAATAAATCCTGTTCGTATTTCTCCTATTCTTTGTAATTTATCAAGCAATAGTCATGTAAGTCTGATGCTATTCTTGTGTGTCTTTCCTAATCGTGGGCTTCTGAGGAACAATAAAGAAAATGTGTAGGACATTGCTAACTTCAACAGTGGTAAGTGAGGCCATAAGACTTTTGATGCCTATATATAAGCTTGGGATATTGTCTCAGTTTAAAGCTTCTTATGTGATTTCAAAGATAACTTATGGTAGAGCTAACGTAGGTTCCAACTTCTGCCAGTCTTTCTCTTGACCACTGGGAGTTGAACTAATCATGCAAGACAGTAGTAATACAAAGGAAACTTAGCAATATACAAGCTTTGGGGTTTTTTTAGTGTTTAAGTCTGTTTCTCACTGTTTGCACAGTGAGTTTAACTACCATTTAAACTGAATATAGAAAATGGTCATATATTCTTTCTGCTTTTCCAATTAATAAGTTGGTTTGAAGATGAAGCAATATGTAAATAGCACAGAGGTGTATTTTGGGGGGGGGGGGGGGGGGGTGTCCAGTAAAGCAGAAACTTAAGAGGAAGCTAACTGAAATGGCTTTAAAATGCTCTACAATAATCCCTAGGGTATTTTTAATGAAAGAATATAGTCAAGTCCCTGATTCTGTATGTGACTGCTACCGTTGTATTCATTCATAAATGAATTATGAAGGAAAGTTAACTGTATAATATAATAATATAATATAATGATATTAACAAATCCATTACTTTCTAGAAAGTTAGATTGCATACCTAGACTCTCACTGTTAAGCAGTTCCTGTTAAGCAGATAAGTGCTTTCATCAAAGTGCTAGTCAGGTGAGTAAAGGTCTCCCAGTATTAGCAAGGAACTGACGATATGACCTGGGATGATAGATGAACAATATACTATAGAATTAATATGTAGTTCTTTAACCTGATACATATTATGGGGAAAATAATCATTGAAGGTTTTACAGCTACCTATAAACATGCCGTCATACACTGCATAGTTAAGAAAATAAAATAAGCTTTGTCAGGGAATTTTGAACAAATTCAAGGGTAGTAAACTCAGGTAAATAAGTAGTTGTGTACTCTCATAGCATATGCTGCATCTTTCTATGTCCTTTTCTTGCTTACTCTCTGACATTTGATTCTGCACCATAGCGAAAGTAAGTCTTTTCATACCATATAAAAAAGATAAACCAAACTAAAGCTGGTGCTCTTCCTCCATGGTGGTTCCTGAAATGCTTTAGGAATTTTGTTTGCATCTAGATGCACGTATTGGTTTTTCTCCATGGTCATTTTTTGAAAGATCTGAGAGAAGACGCTTTGGCAAACTGGGTCTTCATGTCAGAAGTCTGGATGAATTTTGTTTCAGTGGTCCTAGCCAGGGACTGCATCTAGACTAAGAGCACAAATTTTAATTATTTTGAGTGAATCACAGTTTCCAGGGATTTATCTTCTCATGTTATGGCATTAGAATGACAATCACTAAAAACGAGCCCACAAGCAAACCAGGCTGCTGGGTAGGATGGATTGGGAAAAGCAAGGCAAAGTTGACCTCCTGAAGCCAAAATTTTATCCATGCATCTCCTTCCAACATTGAAGTGCTTGCCTGGAATGAGGCTGCCTCTTCGTGGCCATAGCTCGGTGTTTGCAGGGGTTTTGCATGCCAGCAGAGAGGTATTTGGGCTGACTGCAACTCTACTGCTGAACACAGTACTTGACAGACTTTAAAGAACATAGTCTTGACCAGTCCACAGCTTTCTAAGAAATGTTCTAAATGTTTATAACTTAGTGGGATTTTCGTGTAGTTTCTCATTTATCTTTATCCTACAGCTATGTTGTGTCCAGATTCTGCTTTACTTTGGCTTCCAGCGTCTTTTGAAGTCCATCATAAAAACTTCCATCATAACATGCCTTAGTATAACATGCAAATGCATTGGCCCCCTAGAGCATCCTTTCAGAGTAGATGTATTAATAAATATAATGTTTCTCTGCTGCCACTGGGGTGGAAGATGTAATGGAGTCTGCATTCCTTAAGCTATATGGGTTTCTATTTAAAAAAAAAAATACATTGTAAAGAATTCCATCAAACTGTTACAGCTTTCACTGCCCTTTGGCAAGAATTTCATACGCTTTTTTAATTTAAATATTACCTGTTTACTTGGCTTTTTTAAGATAGAATACATCTCTTCGCTTTTTTGTAATAGAGATAGTTGTAAAACAATATTCATATAAGACCATTACCTGAGTTATATTTCAAAGATGTGTTTTCATTCTATTTTTCCAATACTTTAATTTACAGTTTTGGAACAGTAACATAAATTTAAACACTGTATGTTTGGAATGAGGTCATCTTAATTCCTTACAAGTCAAAGCGTCTTTTCCAAGATGAAAACTGTGAACTAAGTTCTTGAAATACGATGTATTTTCTAAATTCTGTTTAATTTGATATAATATATATGTTTCTTGGGGACTGTTCTTATAAAGATTTTAATTTTTTTTCCTCATTTTATTTAATGCTTTAAAGTATTGTTAAGATTTAGGAATGTGCTTAAAAAGTTTCAGTTGTCTCTGGGAAAAATAGTCTTAATTTATGTTGACCTTTCTTTCCTTTGAGCATTTAGTCTGCGTTCAATAAAATTTTGATGACTGCTCTTTAGAAGACAGCTGTACGATATAAAGTATTATAAATATTCAGCTTTCCTCTTCTAGCGTTGCCATTAACAGCTGGGCATCCAGTTCAGCAGAGCAGATTTTGCAGAGAGAGCTTGGCATGTTCCTGAATCAGTATAGTGAAGAAGACTAGAAAATAGTTTCTTATGGTTTGGGGACCTGTAAAGACATAGAGCATCTGTTCCCCAGTTAAGTCATAGTCTGGTAGCACTGAATCATGTTAAGAGCTAAAATGATGGGAAGAACTACTTTTTTCACCTTGGCTGTACCTGTGTTTTAAATGCCTGATACATTATTTCTACTAATGGAAAAATAATATCAACCCTTGCTCGTAAGGTATGTAAATGATAATACTTTTGCATTTTTTCATTGTTTATGGTCTTTGAGAAAGAGGTAGATATACAGTGTGATTTCACTTCAGTGTCTTGATTTTTATCTCTGGTATAAAATGGAGAATTGGATTTTCTTATGCAAACACTTTATCCTTCTAAACAAGCAACATTTTTGTTATACAGTATTTTAATCAGGTAATGCTTTGGATGAGATTAGTTTTCTTGTGTCGTACAAAAAATGTGAAACATGAGAAAGGAAAAATCTCTTTGAAATTATAGATTATATATTTTACTACCAGAAATCTCTTTGAAATTATAGATTATATATCTTACTACCAGAAATCTTTGTGTCTAGATGACCATAAAACTTGTCCATATTTTTCTCTTGCAGAGTTAAGAGAGCATTGAAGTTGGACACCGTTAAAAAGGATAATGTAAGTATTTTTTGGTGTATGGAATCATCTGGGCAGTATGTATATGTATGTGTGCATATCTATGTATATGCACACCTATGTGTGTATATAAACATGCTATTTCATTAGAGTTGCATTTCTATTGTTACAGATTGGATGTTGTCAAAAAAAATCTTAACAAGACACAAAATTACTGCTGAAAATAGTATAAAATTTATTGTATTTGATTTGTCATAGAACTGCCTGGCTTTAAGTAATGTACATCTGCATGAATCACTTGAAAATAATGGAGAAATAGGCATATTTTTATTGCCATCACTATTTAGCCAAGAGCTGAATGAGTTAAGATCCTTGGTGAAATTATTTATTAGAAATTAGCTCCGTTATCCTGGAAGCAAATATTCTGCCATGTAATTGTACATCTAACAATATGGAATTGTAACAATGCTGTAATCTGCATATTATAAACTGCAAAATTGAAATGAAAACACTAAAGGCATTTTCATGTCAAGGATATAATTACCTCCCTCAGCTAATCTGGTATAATGAAACAATAAAGTACTAACACTGCAATAAATTTCACCACAGTTATCACAATAAAAATAAAATTGTACTGTTGCTATTATTTTTTTGTAAATGCAGCTATAGTATACTCCCAGTACCAGCATGTCATGACATATGTCAGTTTATTATCTGCTCCTACCAACAGTGGGTGTTGCTGCAGACATCAACACAGAGGAGCTTGTGAGGATGGCAGCGTAAAGGAAGGGAAATTTTGGAAAAGTACGTAGAGAGAAATAGCTGGTCAGCAAATGAGCTCCCAGTAAATCTCCACGTCTCTGTCATTTTGAAGAGATTTGTTTAGATGCAGCACATTTTTGGAGGTCTCAGTGGTGGTTAGCAAAATAGAAATTTGCAATTTTAAAATTTTTTCTAGATGCTTTATTTTTTTTAATTTAAACAAAGGTGGCAAAGTACCGCAGTGGCACTAAAAAAAAATCATTAGCAATTTAATTAGCAGCTTAGTGTACCATTACCCAACTTGTTCTGCTTGGAATGCAGCTGCGACTGTAATTTTGCATCTGTTTCGTGGGCTGTAGTAACGTTTTTGTAGATGAGTGGTCCAGCTGAAATTACATGCAATTCTTTTTCTCCCTTAGAGCTATTCCTTCCCTGCCCCCTTCCCATAAGATAAAACAAAAAGGTTACTTGATGGTTACCTGCATTCAGGTTCTTGTGCAGCAAAAAGCTTAACAAAAGCCTATCTGAACGATAAAAACTTTTACTGGAATCTCAGTAATGTAGGTTTACACTATGATTTTTAGTTTCATACGATGCCTCTAACAGACAGATGTCAAAGATTTAAAGTGTACCATAATTAAATAATGTTATAGAAAGTAGGAAGGATTGTAAAGTAATAAACACACACGGTTTGTGTGAAGTATCTGGTTTAGCTCTGCCACATCCATTGCTGTTTCTACAATTTCTTTCCTGTTATTCAGGAGGCCCTTATTCCACCTGCTGGTCAGACTACCCAGAGCATGCCTGAACTAACCAGATCAGAAATAAGTGCTTGTAGATTTTTGTGATGTTTGTGTGGTATCATTTAAAAAAATGCATAACTGGACCAAGACTCGTCTTCCTGGAAGAGAAGTTCTTACTGACAAATAAATACTGTCCTTTTAAGTACCGCAGTAACTTTTTCCAGGTAGCTGCGCAAAGGAGTCTTAGTTCATATCCAGAAATATGGTGGCTGAGGTGCCTGCTGTTCAAGCAGGAAAAATATCCTGAAAGCATAAGGAGATTGGAGATTCTCCCTGTTACAGAAGAGATTTGATTACATTTAAATGCTTAAAGTGGCATTGATATTTTACTGTAATTAATATTTCATTTAAAGACGTTTTGAAACATTTATTGAACCTGCTTGAATGTGGCAAAATATTAGTGACAACAGACTGAAGATTTCCATCAGGTATTGTTTAAATAGTGGATAGATCACAAAAAGAGTATAAACGGGTGATGTGAAATTGTTTAGGGTAGTCAAGACTAAAACAAGACAGAGCAATATCCAGGAGCTATAAGAAAGCTAGGTAAGCGGGCAGCAAATTAAATCTTTCAAAATACGGTGTAAGTCATGTTACTGATGACCAATACTAACATCGTTAGGTTCTCAATTAAGGGTAACGACTCAAGGCAGAGTAGTAGAAGAAAAGCATTAAAACTGCAGCTTTGTTTAAAAGTACAGAAAGATATATCAGAAATAGAACAGCAAGCAACACTGGAAGTATAATGCCATTGCACATATCAGTATTTTGTCATCACCTGAATTAGAATTGAAGGTACTGTCACTCTATTTTAAAGTATAATTGCAGAAATTATACTTTGAACCTTTATCATTCTCTGGAAGAAAATGAGTGTGAACGTAGGCTTTGGTACAAGAGGCACAAGAAATGCCTTCAAATGAAGGAGATTAAAAGATGAGGATGTTTTAATAGGAGTTCAGTAGTCAATAGCAGGAAAGGGGTATAAGAATATGCTGTATTCTTTTTAGAGGGGATATTGAAGATTCTTTATACTTTTATATAATCAAAGGGAATTTAATAATACTGCAGCGTGGAAAAGTGAAAGCCAATAATGGAGACTTATATGACATGTTAACTTCTAGAACTCATCCTGAAATTTTGGTGAAGTGCAGAAGGTAGTAGAAGCTGTGATAAAAACCCTCATTCATGCAGATAACAGAAGTATGCGTATCTTTGTAGGTGTGAAAAATAGGAGTATTGTGCTTCAGGACACTTAGATCAGCTGCTAACTGTCTGGAAAACTTCTGAGGGTTACCTAATTGTCCATTATACTTCTAGGTACAATGGGTATTCCTGGTTCTTCTGTAAATGTTTACTTTTTAGAAGCAGTTTCCTTATAACACCTCAACAACTTAAGATTAATTATGTAAATGTTAATGTTTTCTATCATTAATTTACTCAGTACTGAAATGTCCCCTTTTCCCGGGTCCT